GTGACAGAGTTCCTGTCTTCTTGTCAGGCCTGTCCGAGGCCTGCTTAGAAGTAGAAAATTTTGTTTCTTCACTCGAGATGACCCCTACAGGTGCTTCAAGAAAAATGTTGTCTTGTTTGATAAAAAGACAATTCAACAAAATAAATGAATGAATAAATGGAATATGAAGATCTGCATGTATGGTGGGGGAAAAGTATTTGATCCCTTGCTGATTTTGCAAGTTTGCAAGTTTTTGTTACAAAAGTGAAACTTAAGTAACGTGCCGGCTCTCAGACGAGTTTGACTTGATAGAAAAGTCAAAGTAAGTAAATTTTAACTCAGTGTTCTGTTAAGTCTGTCTTGCTCGATGAAGATTGTGACCAACAACCACTGTGAAGTACCCTGAGTGAAGACGCTTTCCCCTCGCTGACCAGAAACCACACCAGTTCCTGCCATTGGACTAGAGTTCACAGACACGTTGTCTCGTGTGTCTGGCAGCCAAACCAAACAACGRATCTTCTCTGGGGAACAACATTTCAGTGGTCTCCGCCAGCAGCTGAAACCCTCTGGTACCGAAACACAGCAGGAAACCAACTGGTGAGCGAATCCATCCTTTGTCTGCGTCTAAACTCTTTTCTGGCACACATTGTACACACAGCAGCACAAYAGCTCAGTGGTCAGCACCGACGCCKCACAGCAAGAAGGTCCTGGGTTTGATTCCTGGTTCAGACCTGGGGTCTTTCTGTGCTGTGTTTGCATGTTCTCCTCATGCTTGCATGGGTTTTCAAGAGGTTGCCTTCAGGCCCAGGCCACACTTGAAAAAGAGATATGTGATCTCATTGGGATTTGCCTAGTTAAATAATGATAAATAAAATAAAATATACATTATATAGCTGTTTTCATTCAACTTGAAGGGAATCTTACCAATATATAAAATAAAACCTTATAATACAGCCCTTAAACAAGCACACAATTTTGCCATTGAATGGAAAAGGGAACTAGATTTTACAGAGTGATTTGCATCACTTTTGCATCATTGCTGCCTTTTTGGTGGCAAACATTCAGCATAGATAGCTGTTCTTTTAAAGTTTAAATATTCAAATATTGTCCTCAAGCCATAATAAGAGACCTGTGTTGGGTATGAATGAACACTGGACTGAGACCTGGCTTCAACAGAACATCATCTGTTTGAATCCTGGTCAGAGGGGTTAATTAAAGGTAAGACTTTTTCTTGCTCTAATTTTAATGCTGTAAAAAAGTAGATTTGCTTCTGTTTGTGTTTTATAGGATTTGAAAATTGTGGTAAATTGTTTATTTTATTCAGGGTATTAGGATTTGTCTTATCTGCTCTCTAATTAGAACGGAAACATCTGTCAACAGGAAGTTACTTTATTTGCAACAATATACATTGTTAGGTTAGGCCCTGTGATGGACTTGCGACCTGTCCAGGGTGTACCCTGCCCCTCGCACTGTGACTGCTGGATATGGGCACCAGTGAACCACGCAACCCTGAAAAGGAAGAGGCGTGTACATAAAATGGATGGATGGATACATTGTTATCTAAAACATAAATATTCATTTAGTGTTTCAGTGAACAAGTTTCAGAATTTTAACTTTCTAGTCTAAAGAGCGAGTTGATGCATATCAAAACATTTTATGAATGTTTTTGAAGATACATCAAAGAGTAAATATTGTTTGAGAAAATGTTGAAATGTATTTTATCCAACAGAACAATTAAAGAAAAAACAAAAGAAAAACAAAAGAATTGAACATGACAGCAACTATGCAGTGGACTTTGCTTCTGCTGACTTTGATGGGTAAGTGGCTTTACATGAATATTGAAGTTGACATAAAAATAATCACAGCTTTATTTTCACCTACATCATTGCTGGATCATTTTAAATCAGTTTAAAATAAAGATGATACCCTGTACGCATTGTATTAATAACATCCTATATGTAACTATTTTTGTTTTGTTTTTGTGTTTGTTTGTTTTTTAGGTCAGTGTTGTTCTATCACATGTCAGCTCTATGAGTATCACTTTATTGAAGAGAAAATGAACTGGACTGAAGCTCAGAAATACTGCAGACGGAAATACTCTGACCTGGCCACAGTGTCCAACATGACAGACATGAAGAGAATTGAGGAGTCAGCAGACAAAATAAATGAGTCATGGATTGGTCTGTACAACCAAATTAATAATGTCAGGACCTGGTACTGGACCCTGCCTGGAGTGGAGTTTAATGAAAATCAGACAAACTGGAACAAAAATGAAAATGAACCAAATGACAAGGGAACTGAAAACTGTGGGTTTATAAATAAAGATCTCACATGGGGAGACATATCCTGTATCAGAAACTCTAATAACATTTCATTTCTTTGCTATAACGGTGAGAATATAATGCTTGTACAGTTAATTTAAATATTAAACTGTTTGACCTGAAGCCAATTGTCATTTTACTCTACAGAAAGTGAAACATCTGAGAAATTTTATTTGATTGAAGAGAAGAAGAACTGGCTGGAAGCTCAGAGTTACTGCAGAGAGAGACACACAGACCTGATCAGTGGACTGAACCAACTAAAGGATGATAAACTAAACAAAGTGATTCAAAATATGTCTGCTGACAATTACCCATTTATTGGTTTGTTCAGAGACACCTGGAGGTGGTCCGATGGAAGCAGTTTCTCTTTCAGACACTGGAAGCTACAGTTTGATGATGAGCAAGATCTCAGTGGTCAGTGTGCCGTGTCTGTGTTTACTGATGGAGGCAAATGGAAGAATGAGAACTGTGGTGAAACAAAATCCTTCATCTGTTATGAAGGTAAGTTTTCTGAAAGATCAGCCAAGAAAACACAACATCTACATATTTAACTTTAGATCTGAAGAAAACCGTAAAATAGGACTACGGTATATACAACATAAAACGTTTACTTGCTTTACAAATCCCTGAAAACAATTATATTTCAATTGGAAATATATAACTAAAGCTGCTCATGTGATCACTTGTTTTATTCTTTCCTCTGACAGATAAAACAATCTTGATCACAGAGAATAAAACCTGGGAGGAGGCCTTATACTACTGCAGAGTTCACCACCATGACCTGGTCACCATCACCAACCTTGATGAACAGAGATGGGTCCAGGAGAAAACCAAGAAGGCCTCGACTCCTTTTGTCTGGACAGGACTGAGGTACACCTGCACTCTGGACTTCTGGTTCTGGGTCAGTGATGAGGTGGTCAGCTATAAGAACTGGGTCTCAGATGGACAGATGGAGGACTGTGACATGTCTGGAGCCATGGAGACAGGAGGACAACACCAGTGGTTTAAAAGAAGTGATAGTGAGGAGTTTAATTTTCTCTGTTCTATGTAAAAAAATGTTGCTTTGTGGTGATAGGCCTTTAGTAAAAAAATTTAAAAATTGTGGTAAAGAGATTAGATTTTAATAGAGGTTCAATGAAAATGTTCATACATAGATGAATGAACAACTCAACTAGAAGCTGGGTCATAGCATAGAAAAGTTTGGAAACCCCTTATTTAAAGCACTGACAAGTCTCTGTATGGAATGATTGATTCAGGTTTTTTTTTTTCAGATTTCAGGTTTTGTAAAGAGATCTAGTAGAGCTCTGCATAAATGTGTGTTTATTGGCAAATTAGGACACCGATAGACCGATAGAGTTGTAAAACACTTTAAGTATCCTGGCTGGATATAAAGGTGCTACATGTACAGTCCAGCATACAGGATTGACCTCAACAGTTAATTTTAAAGTTTTAACCACAGAGCTCCATAAACTTGTAGTGTTCAAAGAGTGTGCTGGGGAAGAGTATCAGCTAAGATAAAATCAAACTGATATCTGAAAAGTTAACTGAGATAGCTGTGTTATTTTTAGTGGCCAGTTTGAGTTGGGTTGACTCAAAAATTATTTGCTATAAGTGATGCATCACTTTTTGAGAATCCTTTTAAAATTAATGATATTTTAACAGATATTAGAAACAAACACATGCACACAGAGACCAACATAGAATTAAATTATCCCCATTTTAATGGCAGCAAATTCCAATTTATAAACTGTTACAGTTTGGTTTTTATGATTTTAAATGCTGAGTTTTGTACAACTTCAAATTTAACTGTACACTTGATCTGCATTACTCTTGACAGCTCTTCTGTAAAATTGATCTGCTTCTAATCTGTTAGCAGGAAAAGCAGCTTTTGTCTCTGGCTTAACAAAATAGTTGTATTTTTGTGTTTTTTTATTTTTAGCATACATATTTTCATTTTTTCTGTTGTTGTTATGGTATGAAATTGTTCATTCTGGGCTGTTTTGTGCTTCAGTATTTTTTGCTCTCTTCTCAGCTGTAACTACTAATATACAATAAAATACTCCAACACTGAAATGTGTTTCAATTTACTTTTTTACACCTTCTACACCCCAACATTCCAACACAAGATTTGACTCACCCACTGTCCCCTTTAGAATAAAAAGACTGAACATGTAATAAAATGTCCCTTTTGATACTGCTGAATAATAATCTCACCTTTCTTTTCTAATGCAAAGCATGACAAAATTATTCCTTTTTTGAAGTTGAACTCTTACCAACTAGCGATGCATCGATCGCGAACGAACCGGTTCAAAGAGCCGGCTCTTCTATGTGACGGATGAGAGCGGCTCCCCTCTAAGACTGAGTCATTTTTTTCTAAGCYTTAGAACGAACAACGACATAAATTGTACAACAAATCAGATAATAACAACAAGCAGCGGAAGCAGTCAGTGAAGGGTTTTACCACCAAGCAGGGAGAGGAGGGGTGTTTGGGGTCTGCGCACACAGTGCTYGCTTTAATGATTACTGTTGAATGCTGCTGTTTTGCATTTTGCAGTGTATTTTATTTTAGTGCCCAGAAATGGATGATCATTTATTTTTTGTTATTTTGTAACACATACCTTTTGGTTTCCACTGGCCACAGTTCAGAGTTTACATTGTGGTTATTTTAATCACTTTRATGACTACTGTCGAATGCTGCTGTTTTACATTTTGCAGAGTATTTGCTTRTGTTATTACCCAGAAATGGATGATTATTTAAGTTATTTTTTAACAGCTATCTTTTGGTTTCCACAGGCCACAGTTCAGAGTTAACAAGTGGTTTTAATAAAGGTGTTAAAATAAAAAAATATTTTTTTTGATACAAGTGAATGTGTTTGTCCAATCAATGAGTTATTACAGGACAACCATGAAAAACAATTGGTCATGGCAACACTATTTTGAGCTTTTTAATGCTGAATGATAACATTTTGTGCATTTAGTCATGTAATATGTAATTAATATTGTTCAGTACCAGTTGAAATAAGTGGTAAAACAAAAGAGCCATTTGGGAGCCAAAAGAGCCGGCTCTCTGAAAAGAGCCATACTTCCCATCACTACTACCAGCATGATTTGGTGACTATTTCAAGGTAAGTTAAATAATGCATTACAAATAAWTAGCTCATTAGAAAGACTAGGCAGTCTTTTTAGCCAACTTGCCATTGTCCTTCACTTAGTGCCTGCAGTACCTTGTAAGATGGTGCTTCACTTTGGTGAGTCTGCAASTTGGTCTTTTGTTTTATTTATTTTATTTTATTTTGCAACATAACCTTTTCAAACTTTTTGGTTTGTACACGCTCTTTGATGCTGCTTATCTCTGGATGAAGTATCTTTTGTGAAACTGACTGTGGACTTGATCAGCCAGAGAAGAACTGTCTGAGTCTGCCAGTGTCATTGTACTGTGGAGGCCAACAACAGGTCTTACTAGTGATGGGCAGTTTGAAGCTGAAGCTTCAGCGCGTGTATTGAAAAAAACAACACACTGTTTCAGAAGCACTGTGTCGGAGCTTGATTCGTTTGGTAAAAGTCATGTGATCAGTGACGTCCGAAGCTTCGAAAGTGGTGAACTTACGTCACTGCTTTGGTACCTGATTCAAAGGTTCATGAGGAAATGAATCACTGGCTGGATTCGTGGTGTGTTTTGATGGCAAATGTGCAAAATATAACAAACCAGTGAAGGATTTATTGTGAGACACAGAGGCAAACAAACGAATGTGTTTAGTTTGTCGTACAGTTTATAAGCCTGGGCCAGAAAGAGTAGGAGTCACAAATCCACAAAGAACCTTTGCTGCGCGCACACACACACACGCACACACGGACCCACACAGAACTGCGTGCAGCTTGGTTCATCATTAAAAAGAAAGCAATAGTAGCGCGAGACAAATCCCAGAGCAGAGTTTCACTTGTTRCACAGGTGATGATTTTCATAAAAAAAACACAACCGGATGGTGACGATGTCCTGTCCTCAGGAGGAAGGGCGGCAGGAAGCATTAGATGAAACTGATCAACTGTATGGACTCTATTTAATAAAGGGATTATCCAAACATTTTAAAGTTCAGTGGAAAAGTTTTAAACATTCATGTCAAAATTAAAATCAAAGACCAGGGGCTGTATTTATCAGACTTGTAGGAAATATTAATGCTTTGAAGAATTAATTGTAAAAAAAGTATTGTCTCAAAGCTGGGCCTAAAATTTAGATATCAAACATCTGACTTAACGTAAATCTGAAGAGTCTCTCAGAGGGGATTTTGTTGATCCTGTATTTAGAAAAACACAGACAAGCAGTCACACACAGAATATGTTTTAAATATATGATCATATTCAAAATTATTCTCAGAGAAATGTCAAGATTGTGAAAATCTTAAGTTGAAATTCATCTACTGTATTTATTGGTTTTAAGAATGTGTGAAATAATCTAGTAGCCTATATTTTATTTTTTTGAAAATAAGGGGCAGATAATAAAATTACTTTTTTTCTGCTTTCATTTTATTTGTGATTTTTTTGTGTGTATAGAATTAATTGTGTTTTTAAACGAAAATGAATTAAGATCATGAACTTATAATAAACCATAAACAGTAACTTTATTCCCACCCACAAAAAAGAAAAAAAATAAATCTGTTCAAGCAACACAATGACAACCTGATGTCAAACAGAAATATCTCATTAAAAAGCTGTCAACTCCATCACGATGAAGTGCTTCACTTTGTGTTGTGTCAAGCAGCTTTTCATACTTTTGGCCACAGGATGGAGCCAATAAGAACTGTGTTGGAAAGCTTCGAGTAATGAACCCTTTTTCAAAGCAAGCTTCAGTGCTTCAGAAAAGCTTCATTTGCCCATCACTAGGTCTTACTCTTGTTTGCAATCTTGCTGACAAATTTCCCATTCACTAATATTCATTTTGCAAGATGATTCTACAGTCCTTATCTTTATTGCCTGAGCTGGCCAGAAGCCTTTGAAATCTGTCAGTTGAGGCATGACCAAAATGTAGATGCTATTTCTATAGGGTGTTAGTTTGAGGTGCAGAATAAACCCAAATCCGGACGGAGGATGAGATTTAAATAAAAAAATTATTTAAACAAACAAAAAAAAGAGCTGTCATGGCAGCTAAAATAAAACTAAAACTCTGAGGGACAACAAAACAGTAGGAGTAATTCATGTAATGATCCAGTGAGGAATGAACTGAAGAGAAAGTTATTTATACAGACAGAGGAATGAGGAAATGAGGAACACCTGGGAGCAGGACTGATTGGAGATGACTGAACAGGCGAGGATGATTAAACAGAAGGAACCAGATTGAGGGGAATGTGTGATACCAATGAGGGAACACAAGAGGGAGATAACGCAGACTGACAAATAACACACATCCTCACATAGGGGTTTTTAATTTCTGTATTGTTCATCTCTTCTGTAATATACAGAATACATTATTTCTTTTTAAYATAGATTCTCCACTAGCTTGTTTATCCGCTCTTTGACTTTGTCGTTCTCCATATTGTTAATGCAGTAATGGTGAGAACTTGTTTAGTCAAGTCTCACAAGTGGGCATATGTAGTAGTACCATCATGGGAATGTGCTGCTTACATGTAAAGCATGATGAGGGCATCRAAGAGCATTTTAAGGACACGGGTTATTGTTATTTTAAGGACACGTTCCCCTCAGTTTTTGCAGCCCTTGTGCAGCAGGGCAGAGCCAGAACTACTCACCTGTATTCCATTTGATGGGCCCAGCAGGTGTTTAAGGTTCATGGAGACTTTAGGTCTTATCTGGAATATAAGAGACTTGTGGGTACAACCCCAGCCAAACCTAAAATATTCTAAAGTGTAAAGAATCTGAGTTATTTGTGTTTTCCTTCACAGAYCTGAGAATACTCTGTGGATTTGCCTGCTGCTTTGAGTTCCTCATTCTGGCAAGACACATTTACCTGGTCACACTCATCTTGGCTTCTCATCTCCATCTTGGGTCTGCTCCTTTGTTCTTCCTGCCTCTCTCCAAAACATTAC